GGAAGGGCCTGGCCGGTTGGAGTGGGTCTTGGAGCCCCTGAGTGGCCTTTGAGAAGACTTGGAAAGGTCTTTCTTGACTCTAGGGAGCTGGTGGGAATCCTAGCAGCACATTTTGTCTGTGGGCTTAGGGCCAGACTCCCGTTTCCCTGAGTGCTCCAAATGGGGTTCTGATACTACCTATTGGATCCCTCTTGGCAAAGATAGCAGCTACAGTGTAATAGTTTGCTTTTCTCCCCCCAAATATGTATGAGTCCAACCTGGCTGGAAGTGTTAGTGTTAGAAATCAGGCCCAGAGGCTAACATTGGCAATGCCTAGATTTGGGATTTTAAAAAATCAGAGGGTCTCTGGACCTAGTTGTGGGCAGGTGGGAGCTCTCCTCCTACCCACCTGGAAGGGTCCCAGGACTGGGGTTAGGCAGAGCTCTCTGGAGTGTAGTAGTTAGAGGGCTGTTTTTGTTTTGTTGCTGTATTTGTGAATTAAATTGATATTATTCTGACTTGCTCACTAGGGATGCAAGTATTTGTCAGATCTAGAGATTTAGGTAGGGAGTCTGGATGCAGAGGAGGCTTCTGTGCAGACTGTCTCACAGTGTTGCAAATTTCACAGTCTAAACCTCAGTACCCTCCAGCCCAATCCCCAGTCTCCCAGTTTACTAAATTCACCAGTTCCTGGGAACCCCAAGAAGTCAGTTCAGAAACCCCAGACCCCCCATTTTGGCTCCACCACTAGTAACCCAAGCAGGTGTCTGGGCAAGTTTGTGTGTTTAGACGGAAAGGACCCGCCTGGGGCTAGGGAGGTGGAGAAATGGGGTTCCTACCCACACCTCCAGGGGATTGTCTCCCTCTTCTGGCCCCCAGGAGGTGTGGGAGGCTGGGAGGGGCCGGCATATCATCTGGCTGCATCTTTTATGGTTCCTCATTGCCCTTCATTCGGAAATGAAACGCCTTTGATCTTTTTCTCAGGTTGTAAACGGAATTGCCCGTCATTAAATATCCGGGGTCCCATCTGCTTGGTCTCCCAGCATTTTTCTTTACAGCTGTTTCTCTCTTTTTACCATTGAATTTTTCCAAAAGGACTTTTATTACTCCCCCTTCACACCCAACCTCCTCTCCCTCCTCTCTTCACTGAGCGGCACTTTGGAAAATATCTAGATATTCGTTTGATCGCAAACTAAAGGCTTAGAGGGGGCACGGAGGAGCCGATTGGGGTTTTGTTTTTTCTTTTTTAAAAAAAAAAAGTCCTGGGGGGAGGGGAGGGGAGCGAGGGCACCCAGAAAGGCCTGAATCTGACTTCGCGGCAGCCTCAGAATGACCCTTCCTCCTTTTGTGCTTAGCTAATGTTTACATCTCATAATTCATGCGCCACCGAGAGTTGCACAGCGCCGGCCGGCGAGGTTCGCGTCCCTATGCGAACCGGCTGTTTCTATTTCTCTCTAATAGAAGAGGAGAGTTGAAAACCTTGTAATCCCAAGAATGGACCCGCAGTGCCTTTTTCTGCTCCCAGAGCTCAAAACTAGAACAAAACGAAATAAAAATCAAAGCACTCAAACCACAGCCCAAACGAAGAACGCGCGGAAAGTAGGAGAACTGGAAAATATCTGGGCCAAGAAGATCTGTCTGTCTTCTGTATATACCCTGTAGATCCGAATTTGTGTAAGGAATTTTGTGGTCACAAATTCGTATCTAGGGGAATATGTAGTTGACATAAACACTCCGCTCATTTTTTTTTCCAGAAGAAAAATATATCTATTACTTTTCTAACTGAGGACAATCCGGTGACTGACCACGGGAAGATTCCTTCTTTTTTCTCTCTTCCTCTTTCTTTTCCTCCCTCAACTGGTTAGAGGCGGAGGAATCCTGTCCCTGAACTCTCTTCATGCCTGCCCTGGGATCATTGGTCCTTTCCACTTTCCTTAAGAGGTTAATGTTGCTGATGATGGTTTTAATTTATCTTTTTGCCCGAAGCCCACCTATTTTCTATTCTGTGGTCGGCAAGGCTTTATTGGAAATTCCCCAAAAATGACTGTTGTCTTCAGTGTGCTAAGGCAAAGGAAATTCGCTTTTCGAACGGATGCTGAGGTCGCCTTTCCGTTTGGGTTCAGAACAAGATATCCTGGGCATAAGAGATTTAGGGGCGGGGTGGGTGTTATTGTTTGTGGGGGTCACCTCTGGTTCTCCTATCCCCAGCATCACAAAGATGTGAGATTTCTATTCGCTGCGCAGGCGGCGGCATTAGCGGCTATTAGGACGTTTCGGCGCCATGGTTAGTACTGCTCGGGTGCTTCTGGAATTAGCAAATTGCTGTCCAATTTTGCTCTCAAAAGTTGCAGGTTTTTTACTCCAGCACTCATCTTTAATGTGGGAAACGAAGTCGTTTCTCCTGGCTTGGGTCGTGTGGGGTGTAAAGGGAGGAGTGGATAGGAGAAGGGGTACAGACGGACTGACTGACACAGCCAACCTAATCCCACAGCTAAATGCGATTTGGAAGGCGAGGTCTCCCCGAATTAGTGCATGAATTTCCTATCGATCCGCCCGCAGTTCCATTCATCTCTGACAAGTCCCTCAGCGCACCCGCCCTCTAGCTCTCAATGCCTTCTCTCTCACCCCCTGCCCCTCCCATCCCATCCGGCTGCAGAGAAAAGCCCCAAGTTCTGTGCCCCTCGGCCCCATATGTGTTCCCCTTTCGAGGAGAGCCCCCAACCCACCAGTCACTTAACTCCCCACACAGATGCAGGGTGCGTGGGCTCCCTCCCGCCTTGGGGAGGAGGAGGGGACCTATGGAAGGCAGAGAATGCTGGGCAGAGGTGAGGCAGGGCAGGAGGGGCTACACCCGGAGCCCCAACTTCTGAGGGGATACAGGGATTGCGCTTTACCCAGCGCCCCAACAGGCCCTCCGGTCGCGACCTGCTCGCGTCGGCGAGAGCACTCTCTCTCTCTCTCTCTCTCTCTCATCCCAGAGAGAGCAAGGCGAGGAGGGGGTCGCCCCTCAGGAGCCCTATGTAAATCCTGGTGTTGGGTGGGTGGGGAGGGGAAAGAGAAGGGGAAATAAACCTCTTTGGCTGGAGTAGGGTCCGGGTGAGCAGATTTCCTTATCCGGGAATCGCAGGCGGGGCGGCCATTGGCTCGAAGGATCACGTGGGCCCCTAACTTTGTTCACTTGACAGTAAGTAGGAGGGCTTTCGGAAACAGGAAAACGAGTCAGGGGTCGGAATAAATTTTAGTATATTTTGTGGGCAATTCCCAGAAATTAATGGCTATGAGTTCTTTCTTGATCAACTCAAACTATGTCGACCCCAAGTTCCCTCCGTGCGAGGAATATTCACAGAGCGATTACCTACCCAGCGACCACTCGCCTGGGTACTACGCCGGCGGCCAGAGGCGAGAGAGCAGCTTCCAGCCGGAGGCGGGCTTCGGGCGGCGCGCGGCGTGCACCGTGCAGCGCTACTCCGCCTGCCGGGACCCTGGGCCCCCGCCGCCTCCGCCACCACCCCCACCACCCCTGCCACCGCCCGGGCTGTCCCCTCGGGCTCCTGCGCCGCCACCCGCCGGGGCCCTCCTCCCGGAGCCCGGCCAGCGCTGCGAGGCGGTCAGCAGCAGCCCCCCGCCGCCTCCCTGCGCCCAGAACCCCCTGCACCCCAACCCGTCCCACTCCGCGTGCAAAGAGCCGGTCGTCTACCCGTGGATGCGCAAAGTTCACGTGAGCACGGGTGAGTGCGTGGGCACCCCTTCCCCCTCCCATCCCTGGAGCTTTACACCGAAGGGACCTCCGAGGCATTTGGGGGGTGTGTGTGAGCCGGGGGAAGCCAATTGTCCCCGCTATAAACTCGCCATTGCCAGAGATTTACGGTCGCCTGTTTTCAGAGCCACATAATTACATCCCCCATAAATTTTTATGGCCTGGTGGGCCCTGCGCCTTTGAAGTCGGTTCCCCATCCTCTTCGCCATTCTCACCAGCGACGTTTTCACCAGGGAGATGCAGTCTCAGTGAAGTTGGAAGTTGGGGAGGGGTGTGGGAGGTGGGGGAGGAGAAGGAGGAGGAGGTGATCTGTATTTAAGCAGAGTTGAGGCAACTCCCAGTATTTACTTTTTCCTTTCTTCCAGTCTGACTCCTTGGCTGGAGAAGTGGGCAAAAGTTTTTACCCAGGGCAGGCACTGCTTGGAATCCGAGAGGAGAGCCAGGGGGAGAACTAAACAGAGGAAAGGTTTAGGGAAACCGCCTCCCTCTTTTCGACCCCTTGTTTTCCCATTCCAGGGAGGAGAGTGAAGCCATTAAAACTCTGGGGAGCTTCCTCACTCCTCTCCCCCAGACACCCAAACAACAACAACAAGGACGGCACAACCCTCCAAAACTTGGGGATCTCTTTCTCTTCCTTGGGTCTCGTTTTCTCCCCTTTTTGGTTTTGTCCCCCTTTGAAGGAAGCAGAGGTGGTGGGAGAGGAAGGGAGGGAGGGAGACACTGTTAGCTGGAAGAAAAGGCTTTCCCTCCTCCCTTTCGGGGCAATAAAACTTTCTCTTTCTCCCTCTCTCTGTGTGTGTCCAGTAAACCCCAATTACGCCGGCGGGGAGCCCAAGCGCTCTCGGACCGCCTACACTCGCCAGCAGGTCTTGGAGCTGGAGAAAGAATTTCACTACAACCGCTACCTGACGCGGCGCCGGAGAGTGGAGATCGCCCACGCGCTCTGCCTCTCGGAGCGCCAGATCAAGATCTGGTTCCAGAACCGGCGCATGAAGTGGAAAAAAGATCACAAATTGCCCAACACCAAGATCCGCTCCGGTGGCACCGCAGGCGCAGCTGGAGGGCCCCCTGGCCGGCCCAACGGAGGCCCCCCCGCGCTCTAGTGCCCCCCTCGCAGGAGCTGTGAACCTCGGGGTGGGGGTGGGCAGCGAGCGCGGGGGGTGTGGGAGCGGGAGGGGGCCCCGGGGCCTGGGCCTGGAAAAACCTACCTGCCCTCCCCCAACTTTATCTATATAGGAATAAACGAAGAAGAGGGGGAGGGGAAGCTTTATTTATAGAAATGACAATAGGGAGCCAGGGAGGCCCCCCAGAAGCAAGGTTCAAGTCTCCTGCTTTCTTCCTTAAAAGAAAGGAAGGAAGGAAGAAAATAAAAAAGAGAGAGAAAGAAAAGAAAAAGGAAGAAGGAAGACAGAAAAAAAAAAAACAGAAAGAGAAATAGGAGGAGGCTGCAGCTCCTCCTTTTCAGCTTTGGTGAAGATGGATCCACGTTTCATCTTTAATCACGCCAGGCCCAGGCCCATCTGTCTTGTTTACTCTGCCGAGGAGAGGACGGGTCTCGGTGGCGACCATTACCTCGACACCCAGCTAACAAATGAGGCCCGGCTCCACCGCCGCCGCCTCTGCTGCTGCCGCTGCTGGAAGACAGCCTGGATTTTCTTTCTTTGTCCCCCACTCCTGACACCCAGCGAAAGCACCCTCTGACTGCCAGATAGCGCAGTGTTTTGGCCACGGTAACAAACACATACACAACCTCCCTTCTCTTTCGTGCCCTTCACGGGGGGACTGTGACTGCTCACCCCCCTTCCACCTTGGGGCTGGGGGGTGGAGAATGGAAGGAAGGGGACAAGTGGGGGAGAGGGCAGCCTTGACAACACAGAGGCAAGCGGGCAGGGAAATTGAGTCCAAGGAAATAAAGAGAGACTCAGACACCAAGAGGGCCTTCCTCTGGAAGGCCAAGCCATGCCTGCCAGGCTGAGGGGCCAGTTGAATTCTGGGAGCCAGGTACCAAGCTCTCACCAATCCAGAGTTGTACAGTGGAGGCCTCTCTCCTAGACTGAAAATGAATGTGAAACTAGGAAATAAAATGTTGTGTCCCTCCCAGTCTGGGAGGAGGATGTTGCAGAGCCCTCTCCCATAGTTTATCATTGTTGCATCATTTATTATTATTATTACTATTGCTATTATTTTATGTCATGTGCGTCCTCTCTCCTTTTCTCTTTCTGACATTCCAAATCAAGCCCCTTCCCATTTCTGGGGCTGCCTGAGTCTAGAACCTTTCGTTGGTGTGAAATTGTGTGTCCTGTACAGAGTGACAATAGAAATAAATGTTTGGTTTCTTGTGACCAGCACAGCGTGTTTTTGTTGAAATCTTGATGTAAAGATATGGACAAATGCCACCCAGCATATATTTTAAGCACCCTAGTGGATTATTCAGCCTCACATTGTATGTGGTTGAAGATTTTCTTCAAAGAGTCTGATGGGAATTTCTATCTCAGAGGACTCCAAATTGTGGTAGCTCGTTTGTTTTCCTTTTGGGTGGGTGTGTTTTGTTTGGGGCTTTTAATTTTTTCCCTCCAGTCCAAAAATGGTTTGAAAGGACTGGGAGGGCTGATTCCAGTCCCTAATGGGGGAAAATGTTTCATTGTAGGACACAAGAGGCTTAAGTACGGAAAAGCCTTTCATATCATGATTTATTTGTCATAAGCAAATAAAATGCGGTTAAGCTGTCTCCTACTAGACAGACGGCTCTTTGGTTATTAAAGTTCCGAGAGAGGATTCTGCGAGGCCGGCCTCTTTCCTCCCAGCATAAGAAGGTATCGCTTTCCTCTGAGGTGTTTAAGGCTTTAATGAGTCTAATTTTTTGCACAGATGTTTCTGGGTGTTTGCAGGTTTTCAGAGTATTTTTATATTACAAAGGAGCTAGCCGGTGCCATAGCTCAAACTCTGACAAGCAAATAGATAATCAAGAAGACAAATGGCCTCTTTTGTGAAGCCCTGCTCCTGTATTAATTTTCATTTTCTTTCTCATAGAAAGTATCGAAAGTACGACTGAGGACCAAATAGCTTTTTGTCTCTGAGGTTCCAGTCACCCCTAGAATCAGAGGGGGAAGGGGAAAGGGGTGCAGGTGACCCTTAGAAACTCTGTCAGGCTTGGGCCGCTTTTGTGCAGCACCAAGGAAAAGTTCTAAGGTCTGGAGACTCCAGCCTTGGGGTCTCTGGTCTGGTGGGGGTCCAGGGTACAACCACCTCACCTCCAAAAAGCTCAGGGCTCAGGAGAGCATATGCAATTAAAAGTCAGTTTTTTTTCCGTCCCATCTCCTTTCAGAAAATAAAAAGAGCCAATCCCATTCGTATGTTTTATTTTTATTTATTTTGAATTCCTCTGGTTTGCAGCGCCGGTACTTGGAGGCTGAATAGGGCTGGGAACCGATGAGGCCGGTGTCCCAGCGAGGGAAATGGTGGTTGAACTGCCCGTTTAAATGCTGCTGAGAGAGTCATAAAAAAATTACCCTGGACCTGGAGGACGAGAGGGGCAGGGACTAGCTTTGTTTGGTAGGATCTCGGTGTGGTGATTTTAGCTGTAAGGAGATGCGGCAGCCCTTAGTCTAGAGGGAAAATAGTTCTTAAAAAGCATATGCCCCCCCAGGAATGTCTCTAAAGAACCAAATCAAAGCTGCTCCTTGGAAGGTATGAATAGAATTTTTAAAAAGAGATTTCTATGGAGCTTAAAGTTCACAGCCATTCTGTGTAGACAAGAGCTAAGAAAAATGTGAGAATTATACAGAAAACCATTAATCACTTCTTTTCTTTAAATACGTATCCTCTCTCCTTTGTTATTATTCAACAGCAAATCTCCGCAGACCGGCTGTTGGGGGAAAAAAGTGTTAGCCGTCTCTCCCGGATCTGCGAGGGGGAAAAAATTTGGAACCATAAAGTTGAAAACTTTTTTCTCTCAGTTTGGAAGAAGCCGTTCGTCATGAATGGGAGCCGCGGAGCTCAGGCGAGAGGAGGCGAGAGGCGCAAAGGTAACAAAGCCCGGGCCCGGCTGGCGTGGTTTTTTTTGTTTTTTTTTTTTTTTGATAGTTTTATGAGCTCTTTTCACAAGCGAAAGAAGAAACACTCTCTCGCCTCCTCCTTTTTCTTTTTCAACTATCTTTGCTGGGTTTTTATGGTGGATGCTTCAGCAGGTTTGCTGCCTTTTATGATGACGGATGCTTGGGTCAGAGGGAGAGAGAGGGGCCTGGAGACCTGGAGAGTGTTTGAACTGGTTGGGACAGAGGTGTCAGGGCCCCTGAAAAAGCCCAGAAAAGAAGATTGTTTGTGAGGCAGCTGAGAAGAGCTTTTCTGATTTTGGTAAACGCAGGTGGGCACTGGTGAGCCCCGCATGTGCGCTGGAGTATGACTACAGAGGGGCACATGGGTGTGTTCCTGTGACTCTATCTGCACTGGGGGCTGTGTCCCCTATGCCTCTTTATGGGTGAAATGTTGTCACTGCCTCCAGTTCTCAGATGGAATGCCCCAGCCTTGGAGCCGGTATAAGTGGATGTGTTCGGTTTTTCTTCTTTTGTCTATCTTGGGATTCTAGACAAATATGTGCTACTCTGTGGAGCAGGAAACTGCTCAGTTCACAAGGCGAGGTGCATTGACGCAGAAATAGTCCTCTTCTACTCTGCCCCACTGGCCTTCTTCCTGAAGTGTTCACTTTGGTTTCCTCTTGTTCTCTTGGCTTGGGGGCTCTGCTCTCCTCTGGGGCCCTGCTCCTCAGGCCCAGGGAGTCAAGCATGCTCTGCAGCAGACCAGAATGTGCCGGCCCCTTTTCCCTGAGGCTTCACTTAGGGTTTGGAGGCGGGAGGCTGGCAGGAGAGAGAGTTCATGGAGAGGCCACGTTTTCTAGGCGATTAGCTCAGTATTAGAACCACAAAATGACCTCGGAAGCCCCTTGACCTCTCTGAGACTGGACATTGTGCTGGCTCTTGCCTCCTGCCCAGGAGGGAAAGTCACACCTCTGCAGGGAGGAGTCCTTGGGCTGTCATATGTCCCATCTTCTCCATGCCCCTCTAGCCTCCAAACCCTTCTTTGCTAACTTGGAATTTCTGGGTTATTTTTCTATTATTGTCCATTGAGGAGAAAAGGAATAAAAACTTTAGCCTGAGGGTCCAGTTGGGGGAGGAAAGTAGGGTACTGATCTGTCTTTCTGTATACAGGCCCTTTCCTAGGCCAGGCATCAACCACCTCCCCCTGCCATGTCCAGTTCATCCTCCTTTCCTGTTTCTGCTTGGAGGGAACTGAGGGAAGAAAGACAAAGAGAGAAGACATGAGATGTCAGAGGGGCTCAATCCACAGGGCTTCAGAAGGCCAGAGGACTGAGCCCCTGGCTTGTAAGGAGAGAAAGGGCTCCCACCAAGAATATTCCTCTGGAGGTTGCCATCTCTCTGAGGGCTGACATCCAAATCCACAGCCTCTCAACCCATCTTCTGAAGTTCCTTTGTTTAGGAAGCTATTTCTATAATCATTTTTACCTTCTTACCCTAAACCACATCTCCCACATCCAGAGCACTTCAGTGCCTCACCCATCAGAGGAGCAAGAGAGATGGAAGGATGATCAGTGTGGGCTGTTCTGGGCTGTTCTGACCACTTTCCAGGGCCAGCTCTGCCATGTTAACCAAAGTTTCCAGAAACTTAATTTTAAGAGATGGGTGGAGAATTTGGTGGGAGGTAAGCCCTGAACACAGAGCCTTTCTAAATCTATATTCTATATTCTATTTGCTGTGTCTTAAAAATTCATACCAACAGCCGTCCTTTTAGGGAGAGACAGAGAGAAAGAGGGAGAGAGACAGACAGACTGACAGACAAACTCCGGCTGGAAAGAGGAAATGCTCCCCTCGAGTTAAGATTAGGAGAGACAGAAGCTTGCTGGGATGTGTGTGGGATGTTGGTTTGCATTTTGCAAATTGTTTCCTGTAATTTAGGGACTTGCCTCAGTCAAGAAATAACTAGAGTGGTCGATATCCTCTCCTTTGTCCCTGGGTGGCATAAGCGTAGGGGCTGGAGGCCTCAGGAAGGGAAAATGATGAGCAGAAAGGCAAGCTGGGCCCCTCCTGGACTGAAAACATTTTGGGATCAGGGGAGATTTGTGTTCATTACCCCTAAGGGCAGATAACCGATTGTGGACCCTCTATAGGCCCAAGTGACAAAGACCTAGTTGCCTGGGACTTTTCAAACTGCTCTTTGCAATGTGAGGGTTGGTGGCTCACCAAAGGAAAAGAGGAGCGGGATTACAGACAAGGACGGTTGGGGTTCACTAAAGGGTTTCAGCCTCACGGGCCCAAACTGTGAGATCTCCCCTTTCCTTCACCCCTAGACAACTCTAGTGCCACCCTAGTCCTCCCAATCTTTTGACCTTTCTCCCTCTTTTCCTCCAAGTTTCCTGGGCCCTCCCTACTCTCCTACTTTCACCTGCTTGGCCTGTGCAGAGGGGGCTGCCCAGTCCTGCCAGAGCCCTCGGAGGCAGCCCCCAGCACCAGTGGCAGTGGTGGTGGCGGCGGCCGGTGGGTCTCCTTGAGAAGCGGAGGCTGAGGAGGGGGTCTGGTTGGAAAACGGAGTTGGGAAGTTTCCCAGCGTGAGTTGAGCGCTGACGGATTTGTGATCAGCCATAAAACCGGCGCGTTCAGATCCGTAAATCAATCTCGCCTTTCTCACAGTCTAAACGTTCGCTTTATCGGCAGCAAGAAAGCGCTCAGCTCGCGCTCAGGCGCTTGTTTATTTGCACGTAGAGATTCCCAGGGTCTGCAAAGAGTACGGACATTTTAACAGAACCTGCTCCTCCTCGTGCCTTCGCGTTGTTTTGCTGTTCTTTTTCTTGTCCTTAAAAATAATATTATCTCAGTTTCAGAGATTGCTGTCTTCCCATGTCAGCATATTATATTCATATTCTCATTCACATTCATTCTCATTTTCTCTCTCTTTCCCTCACTCTTATTTTTGTTTTAGACTTTAGCGGAGTGTTTTTCTTTGGAGGACCATTTTTAATGGATTTGTGGCCAGAATCTTGCAGGGAGTTGCCCTCGCTGGAGCCGGGATCTGGCTGGATTCAATACCAGCCTGTGTTTTGTATCTGGACAATCAAAGCCGACCACCCCCTCCCTTGCAGAGTCTGGGCCCGCCGGCAACCCCACCCCGTGCGGCGGCGCGCGGGATTCCAGCGCCTTTGGTAGGGGAGGAATCTCTGAGGCCGAGGCCCACATCGGGGTGGGGTGGCGGTTTCTTTGGGGTTTGTTAAGACAGCTAGGTCCTTAGGTCCTCAACCTTCTCCTCATTGAGTTGCTTTTGATTCAGATCTCTCCAAACTAAACCAGTGGAGGTCCCTCTGCTCCATGCTCTCCTAAAGTAGGGCGCATTTTTTCTTCCCCCATTCCCCGCCTGCCCCTCCGGCTGTGGTCCAGGCTAGCTGAGAGCTGCTGGAGACGATAAGGCTGGGAATGTGCAGCCGGGGGCTTTTTTAGCAATGTCTTTTCTGCTTCCCTCTGCACTCCTACCCCCACCCCATGCTCAGGCCAAGAACTCTGATTCTGGTTATAACTGTTCAAGTTTGGGGGAATTTTTGTTTTGTTTACGTTTGAGGTGAAGGGGTCTGCCTAAGTTTCTCTCTTTAGGCCTAGGGGACAGATTTCCCCTATCCCTGGTGTTTAACCCTTTAACATGTACCCCCCCCCCCATCTTTTTCCCATTGATAAGTCTCCATTGTCTGCTGATTGGAAGCTCAGGGTAATAACACCTGGGAAATAGGGACCCTGGGGCTGCCAGGCAGACTTCAAAGCCTTTCTTTCCTTTCCCCTCTACTCCAGTTCAAATCTCCAGCTGTCTTCACTAGTGTGTTTGGGGGAGTGAGGAGGACAGAGACAGGGTATGACATAGGTAATAGAGGCTGAGTGTCCACTTCTTTTGTGTAGAAACCTTAGTCCTGGTCTTTGTCTCTAGAACCTATTTTCAAACAGTCAAGAAAATCTGGTTACCTATGGTAGTAATGACACAACGGAAAAAAGTCCCCTTTGCAGTTATCCTCAACTCTGGAAGCTCCAGAGTCATTGCTTCATGCTGTCCTTTTTTTGCCCCTTCTAAAGGTACCAGAAAAGATCAAAACTAGAATTAAAGCCAGAAGTGCCATTCTTTATACATATATAACATGGACTTATGAAATGTTTCTTTTCAAGCTGGTGCCTTCAGAAATTTTGTTGATTATTTAGGAAGAGAGCGAGTGGGTCCCACTAAAACAAATACCCCAGGAGAGGGGGGAAAATGGAGTTGGAGAGGGAATCTTCATCCTAAAGGATGCGGAGAGAAGAATTGGAAGCTGAGAAATCCAGGGGCTTGGAGAAGGGCTCCGTGCCCACCCCACCCCCACCCCTCAGACGCCCCTGCAGACTATTTCTGCACCTCCACGAACTAAGCAGAAGCAGGAGGAGAAGGGAAAGAGGAGAGGTGGGCTGTGGGTAAGTGTGTGTCTGGGGGGTTAGGGGGCTGTAGAGGTAGTAGGTACAGATATGAGTGTGGGAGAGAGAGAACTCTACTATTCCATTGGTGGGGGGGGACTTATTTTGCAGGAAAATTTCTCCTCCTGAAGGGGAAGGTCATAGTGGTCCTTTGAGCCTGAAATCGAAAGACCCCCTTCCCCCTCCCGGTCACGTGATTCATTAAATAATTAATGCCGAGGTTGCAGAATAGATATGTATTCGTCAGGAAAATCGCAGGCTTGGTCTCCCTGTTTCTGACGTGCAATTCAACTGTCCTTTGAAAAACAAGCCTGTACCCCGAGAAAAAAAAAAGAGAGAGGGGGAGAGAGAGAGGGAGAGAGAGAAAAAGAAAGGGAGGCAGCAATAAAACAGCCCCGCAGCCGGAGCCACACCGCGGGCTGGGGTATTGTAAGTAAAAGGGATTTCTCACTACCTACCGCGTCTTATATGTCCATGTAAATTTATTGTTTGTTATTAATGTTATTGTCGTAAAATGTGACAAATAGCCATCTTCA